TCTGTTAATCAGGTATAAGTGTTATATACCATCCCTGGTAATATATATAGCAGTTTGAGTTTTTAATCCCATCATGATGGAATTATTGTTATTTTTTGAAAAGTGTGTGCAACAATTTTATCAATGTGATTTTTTACTTGAGACTTGAATGAAAATTCACTAAAATAAATTACAGCATTTCATAAAATCCTATTTACTGAATCTCCAAGACTACCTAGTACATTTAGTGTATGTGATTATTTAAAATTTTTACAATGCAACATTTATAATTTGACTCTAATTTATTCCTATACTTGGAACTAATCTCGTATAAAATAAAAAGTTTTTTTTTCAATATTAGGTACTTCATATTCTTCATTTTTACCCATCCTTAAAATTCATATAAACATGTACATAATATGTATATAAGCAACATATTATTTCTACTTCAAACAATATTTTAAAAATATTTGTAAAAAATACTTCTCTATGGATTAAAAACTAACAATAAAATATTGGACCTTACAGCTTTAGTAAGTTTAGATAGTAGTAATTTTAGATATTTTTTTCATTCAGAAAGGAATTTAATATTATTTCAAATCTCATCTGTGCAGATCGACTTGTATTTTTATCAAACGTGTACCAAACAATATTATTCATTTTTCGTGATGACTTTGAACATTTTTTTACACATAACTTCAAATTATTCTTATTAGTATAGTTTTTAATAATTTTAGCTACATTTATTCTCCGATAATTATAATCAATATTTTTGTCACCAGTCGTCATTTCAAGCATCACAATATTAATTTTCTCAGATAGATTAATATTTCAACATGAATATTCTTCTTTACCGATGGTACATGAATGAAAAATAATTATTTGTTCGTATAAATGAACAAACTGTTTATTTATATTTCATTTCTTCAGTAGAAACTATAAATTCAGAGATAAAAAAAAACATTAAAATGCAATAAGTATTATAAATAAAATACTGAAACTAGTAATATGATTCTCAATGAGATTGATTCTTATAAATAATAACGAATATTTACAAGTACCTAGGTATTACTCTTTTCGAATATGCTAATGGTGATCGAAACGCTTTGTGCGATTTGCATTTATACGACACCGAAATGGATAAAAATGTAAACAAAAATATTCTACTTTATAATAACGCTGAGAGATTACTCGGGTATGGAATGATATTCTAAATTAAACGTCAAGATTCAACTTTTAAATCCTGTATGGATTTATCATAATAATATCAAATAACAATGAAATGTGAATAATGCAAAAATGACTTATATTAATATAAATAAAACTATACAAAATCTCTTTGTCCAATAAAAATGTCTAATCATATTCTAGAAACCAAATCATATGATTCGATACCATAGTAAATTATAATGCACTCTGTGCCGTTATGTCCATTAAAAATTAATACAAATTAGTATGAGAACGGCTCCATTCATGATTCCATCCATTTTTTTGAACATGATAAAATACAAAATATACATTTGTAGAATATTCATCTTTTATATTTCCGTATTAAATTCCATAAAAATAAATCCTTTAAACAATATATTATGTGTATATTATACAATTTTAGCTCACTCCTATTTTTGCGGTGTCACCTGCTCCTTCATTCAAATACAACTTACTGGCGTTCCTCAAATACACACACGCACATTTCCAAGCATATTTTAACCAACTTAAAATGTTAATCTTGACGCTTGTTGCAGTATAATTAAATACTTTACATATTAGACATATTTTGTGACGACTAATGTGCACAAGTCGTGACTTCTAAAAGCAAAAGCTTTTTACCTTGTTCAAAACTATTACTGAATAAAATAAAGGTTAAATTATACCATATCGCTATTAATTGTATTCAATCTTTAATCTTTAATTATTGTAGACGACAATATTAGCAATTATTTGTTTTCATCGACCATCGCATTTGGTTGATAAAGTGTTGTACTCATTCGAAACGATCGATTGTGTACCTACGTTATTTCATTTGCAAAACAACAATCGTTATTATTAACATTGTGGGCTTAATCAGTTTGAAAAAATTGTCATTTTGAATGCAGTTCCATCAGTCGTAACTTCGTTTCCTCTGTCATCCTATTCTACTAGCAATTAATGAAACTCATCTAAATATCGACCGACTATAGTTAACAATATTATATTCTATATATTTTCACCCATTTATAGATCATTTTATTTCGGACGGAAATGTTGATAATCATTTCGAATTAAGAGAATAATGTACCTATAATAAACTAGGGATTTGAGTGTGGTAAATGCAAAAGATAAAATTCTACCTTTAAAAATGTACTGTTATATTGTACCAACTTTTTTTCCGATTAAAATTGTTACCACTTAACATTTTACACGATTCCTTAAATTAATTGTAATTTATGACGATTCATGAAACGTTTTATTTAATTTATGTGACGGTTAGTGTTTTGTTATCAGCTTTCACCAAACGATGTACCAACATTGCTATATGGTTCACTAGCTGTTACTACCATACAATATATTTATTAATTTTCATTTATTATTGTACCTTAAATGATAACAGTTTTTACTTTTAATATTTTATTCCAAGAAAATAGTATAATGAGTATGCCTAATTACCTAATGTACCCAACTTACTTCTATTTTAAAATTATATTTTAATTATCAGTGCATTTACAGTAATTTAATTTTTGGTAAATTTTCCATCTCTATAACTATATTTTGTTATTCAACTGCAATGTGTTCATTGTTTCACAATCATAGATCGATAGTAATATGTTATCTTCGGGTTTGTTCATTAATTTATGTACACATGCTTATCATGTATGATATATGAATAGCATATATCATAACATAAATAATATTAATCATTATTTATATCATTAATTTGTACTCATATCAATAGTCAATACCTATATTACATACATATCTATCAAAATTTGTTAACCGAAAAAAAAACAGAATCACCAGTCTCGTTGTTCTGATAATATGATGCAAATTATTAGGTGGGTTCAAAATAAATACTTAAAATCTTCAAATCTGAGTTGTATACAATTTAATTTTCTATAACTTCTAAATTCAAATCAAACAAATGTCTCAATAATAAATTTAATAAGTTGAAATGTCCTCGTTTGTGATTATAAATATTTCATTTGTTTGTTTTTTAATGTACCTACTTTTGAACATATTAAACTTGTTAAAAACCATTTAAAACAGCAATTAATTATGAAAACAAAACAAACTGGATTTTAGATGTTTTAAACTGACTTTTCAAATATAAATTGGTTCATTAAAAATAGTAAGCTAAACCGTTTTGAATGACTAGTTGATGTTCATTAATAATATACAGTTATTTAATAAATTAGACTTTTAAAATATTTAAATACATCAAATAACTCAACTTTTTATTAAAAATTAATCCATTTATGGACAGATTAAAATTGTGTAAATTATTTATAAAATTATATTTATATATTTTTAAAACGCGTAAAGTTGATATTAAATTACTACCTATCAATATTATTACAATACATTATTTTTATAGGTATTTTACGAACCGTTACATAAAAAAAAACAAATTACTTATGAAATAAATGTTTTTCAATTTATCAAATGGATCAATAATTTGTATACCAAGCTATAGTATATAAATTATAATATGGTGTTAAATTATGAACATCATCCTGTTTTGTCGTTTTTATATTTTTTTGAGTATAATAGAGTTTAATTTGGCAATTATATGTTATACAATGATTTAATTATCCTCCACAATAACATTTTATTAATTATTATGATATGTAACAGATAAACACATACAATTTTTTTTTTAAATTAAAAAAAGTATACTTTAATCTGAAAATAATAAATTAACTTGTACTACATTCTACATTTTGTATACTACCTATTTAATTAGTTTTTGGGTCTAACTTGTTATGTATATGAAAAACAATATCTACATAAATAATATTTCGTTATACGACGTATAGATACGTTATTAAATTATTTTTTTACGAATTGTACCTATTAATCGTTGCGTTGTTAGCTACTGTATTTCAAATAGTATTTCCATTTTATTTATTAAATAAAAATAAAATAAAAATGCATACCCAGTAGGTACACAATTCTGTAAAAAATCCCATCAAACCTTGCATAGTCAATTTAAAATTTTACACGCAGTATTGAAAATCACTTAACTATGCTTTTTCGGCTTAAATAATTAAAATGATACTCAGAATTATTGAGTATTGCTAAAACGCAAATAACGAAATGTTATTTTTTTTTAATTTACATACTTTTTTAGCTTGGTTTAACCAACAGTAATTTGTTTTATTGTAATATACTATGTTTGTACAAAATAATTTTATTTCCACGCAATGGTTTAGAGTTGCCTCCTGCACATGGAGGTTCTTCGGTATCTTTTTCACTGGATAATCATTAGTCACCTGCTTAGGGAAAAATAGAGCTCATGATATCAGATTCAAACCATCATTAAATACTATTATAATAGTAATTATTTATCAAAAAAAAAAAATATATTTTTAACCATTTATTACTTAAAATGGCCATTTTAACGCAAAATAATTGTGTTATTAATTATTTCAATTATTTTTAATTGAGAAGATTTTGTAAGGATTAGTATTACGAAATAATAAATTATATTTATAAGTTTCGTTTGCCCATTAATTAAGCTCATTGAAATAAGTTAACGAATAACAATGATATAAAACATGAAATACCGGTAGTTTTTGTATTAATGATTATTATTTAAAACCCCATGTGGAATAGGTAATTTTATTGCAATAGTTTGTTAGGTAGGTACATATTTAAATAAAAACAAAAACAAATTTGTTTTTAAAATATGTGATGAATTTGAATTAGTGGAGCCTAAAAAAAGATTGATACTGCTTGTGCAATAGTTCAGGGGGATTTTTAAATAAAATAAAATAACTCTGTATAATACATGGTTATTAATATACTACTATCGTATGCCATAGGTCGCCCGGAACCAAAGGTCAGATGGTGGCGGGGAGAGACTTTGATGGATACCGGAAACGAAGGAATTTCCGGACAATTCACAGCGTCATCATCGTCGGTGAAACAAAACGAACTGACCATCGAAGCGCTGGGACGGTACGACCAGGGAGCCGTGTACACTTGCCAGGCTTCAAACAGCAACTTATCCGCCCCCGTCAGCGCCAGCGTCACCATCGAAATGTACCGTAAGTACACACATTGACTTTAATCCAAAAATATATATATATATATTATATATATATGATACCTACCCAATAATAGTATTCTATAATTATAGTCTAGGAATTATATAGCCTAGGTCGGTGGTATTTATTTTAATACATCCAAAAGATAGATCTTTATTTGAGGTCCAAGAACACATTTTTAGCATAGAGTGTATTTTTCAATATATATTTAATCATTTAAATCATGTGTTTATTACAAAAGCAACTGAGAATTAAAAAAAAAAAAACCAGTACCTATGTGGTACTCTGCATAAAAAAGTTGAAGACCGCCCAAATTAATTCCAATTGGTAGATATGTTTAGACAGTTGAACTGAATCTAGTATACGTCAATGTCGCGAATACAATAAAAATCGTGTGTAAAAAAAATAATAGTATTATTCAACGTATTATATGAATTTATTTTTTTAATTCACTTTAAAAAAAAATGCTGTACAATTGTTGACCTTTAGTTCGTTAAATATTATTTTTGACCTGACTGAATTAACTTAAAACCAATCATTGGTTTACTCAGTCTCACTTATAACTCATTGAACTCATAAAATAATTGTACTGTAAACCGTTTACTGCTATACACTTACGGACCGGAAGTAAACAACGCCACTACACCACATATCGTGTACCATTGCACAACTGTAATTATTTAAATTTGGCCCAGACACACACGAAAACACATATATCCGCGGACCGTGTGTTTTTATTTACACCGGATTGGCCATCGGACCCTAATTATGGACTTTGACTACCATAATGGATTAAAATAATCGTGTCTTCTTACCCGATCGAGTGTCACATTTGCGGAAATAGTCCTTTAGTTGTGTGGCTTTCATAGTAGCTGGGTGTCAAAGTGTTATGCTTCTTCTTTATTCCACCCTCTTTTCCGTTGTCTGTAATTAAATATTTCATAATATATTGAAAACCTCAGCCATTGGACATGATAAAATATAACACATCAATGCTGTTACGTAAGCTCACAGTGTTAAAAATCTAAACAAATTTTTTTTTTTTTTAAGTTTGCATTGGAGACATTCACATTTGTTCATTCACTCATTTTGGAGTACCTATTTTAGCCACTTTATTTAAATTGTTTTATTTAATTATAATTACTTAAATATTAGGCAACAATTTATTTTTAAAATATTGCAGTAGCTACTTAACCAAGATTAGCTCAGTCATTTTTTCTTAAAAACCAACGAAGTTTATTTTCAGACATTTAATATATGAGAATTACATACTTAAACAACCAACATAGCTCTGTGAGGTATGTCATCAAAATCGCATTACATTGAAGATTGGTTTGGAATGCTTAGGTTAATAACTTGTTTGCATAGAAATTTTGTAGGTAATCATGATTTTGTAATTACTGAAAATTAAATCCATGCTCCATTAAGGAGCAAACAAGCAGTAAACGAAACGTTTTTTTGATTTATCTAAATCTCGTCATATCTCATGCATGATATATTAATATTATTATGTCAAACATTAAAAGATAAGTAACCCACTAATTTTTCTTATCTCTACACCCACTTTATTTTATATACTACTTATGCTCTGTCGTTTAATAATGTCACTGGAATTAAAACTGAATTCTTAAAATGTATACATTTTTTGAACTTATTATTTTTAAACATTTACAACTTTACTCATAAGAAATGTTTGTCATTTATTATATATGTTCAATCTAACCAAAATGGTTAAAATTTAATAACTTGAGTTAATATTACACACACATGAAATGTAAGTGCTTACGTACTATTTAACGGGACATCTTTATAAAACATACCACCGAAGTTCACTTATTCGAATAGTCTCTCCATTCAATTACACAAATTGATTTCTTATAGGTTCAGTGAACATAAAATCCATTTGGCCATTAATATGCAACGTTTGTGCAGTTACCCTATATGGAAACAATATATTTTCTTCGGAGATAATATATTAATATGTGGGTAATTAATGTTAAACGGCATTGAAAATTAACCCACCCCAAGTTCTCCGAATCACGTACTAGGCAAGAAACATTAAATATCATCAATCGAGATGACTAGCTTTCGCAGAAAACGTTTTCATTAAACTTTGTTCGGTCTATAACATAGTATAAAAGCAAAAGGATATTACAAAAACAACATAATAATTCTGTATAGAACCATTCACTTGTCCAGTGGTATCTACGGCTACTCTTAAATGCAACTTGAGTCTTGAACGCAAGTCTAATATAAACTGTGGGGATATGCACTACCTAACAATGTACATTAATTCAAAGTTAAGCTTAGTTAGTTGTTCATTTACGAGCATATTTAAGATGTTAAATATAGGTAATATTTTTATTAAAACTTTAGAAAATTTCTTCCGTATGTTACTACTATTTCCTAGTAACCCACAATTTGTCCCACGTGCGAATTTCTATTAGTTATTGCATGATTATCTAGTCGTATTTAAATAATTAGTAAAATCGTGCTCTCAAATATTTGTCAGATGTCGGTCCTGAATGATTTTTAGAACAAAAATACACGATAAAATTATCATTTGGACTTAAATATTGATTATGAACTAAACCATTGTATTTTGATTTGAAAACAAAAATATCTTTATCTTTTACAAAATTGTTTATTACTTACGAAATGAATGTCTGATTTAATAATACACATGACAAATCATAACCTTTTTGCATTACAAAGAATTTTTCGACACTAGGATTTGATGCATAGAAAATTAAAACTTAATTTTCACTAATTTTCACTACCTACTGTGTCCAATTATTTTTATAATATATTATTAATGTTGGATATTGTAATTTTTCTCTCTTACAGTTCTGTAGTAACTAGGTACTTACAATATTGTAATACATTAAAGTCACAACGTACACACATACTATAACGATATTTTAATTTTAAATCCAAACTTGAATTCGTAACATTTTATTCAAATTACTATTTATTTTTCAATCATCTGAACAAAAAATAAAAATAAATGTTTAATATCACCATCGACACAATTTATAAATTTAACTTGAGCACTTTTCCATTGTTCTCGGGTATGTTTTACCATTTGTTCTCAACATAAATGTTTTATTAACACATATTATTTGTGCCTTGTTTATTATGTACATTGTATACATACAATTTACATTTCATATAAGGTAAAATTTATGTATACAATACATACTTCTACATCCTCATACACTATACCCATTTTATTTGATTTTGGTAGGTTATTTAAATATACGCAGTATCTGCATTGTTTTAGTCAGCAAAGTTGAATTCAGAATAAAGATTTGTATTTTTTTTTAAAGTTGAACTTTTGAATCCATAAAAAAAGCAAAAAGGCTTATTTTTGAAATATCTACAAAAATTCAAACGTAGAAACACATGTTTTTATATTGTTAGGTATTATATATTTTTGTAATTATCTAATCGACTAATAAAATAAATTAGTAATAACAACATAAAATGTTATACAATGATAATAGGTTATAATAGTATAGTGGTGGGTTCCTACCATAATTTTTCTCAACCAACATCATATTATAGTAATATTCTTAGTGACACTGTTTTAGGTTCCGTTCCCTCCAAAAACTGTATGGAAATTACATTGATGAGACGCATTGTGTAATCTTTATATGATATTTTTAATTTTTAATTTTTTTTTTTTTTTTTGTTTATTCCACCTTTTAAAGTAGTAGAAGTGCTTTGAATTTCAATGTTGAGGGTAGTTTCTGGTAGAAAATGATCTTTATTAAAAAAAAGATAGATCTTGTCAATATTTATGTTAAGGGGGGGGGGGGGGTTAAAAGTGAAAATTTCCAGTGATTTCCAAAATTATTGAAAAAACCCCGATGCTTTAATCGAAAAATATGTTTTTATGAGCCTTAACAAAATTTGTCAAACTACAAATCACAAATTATTTTATGGTTTGAATGTTCCATATTCATATCTGAGATTTTAAAAATCAATACAAGGTTTCTCTTAAGTTGTTATTACTGGAAAAAAAACAAAAAAATTAAGCCTCATTCCACAAAGTATTGTATGGTCTATGCTTAGATTATATCTACTATTTCACTATTTTTTTAATTCTCCCAATCTCTCCAGACGAGACGTGTGGAAAATAATGTATTCATAAATTGTTTAATTTTAATTAAAATAGACACATTTATGTACATTTTTCAATCGATAATATCATTATATGGAACTTACAATATTTGTATAGCTAAAAACATTTTTATTTTAAGAGAAAAACGACATCATTATAATTTAAAAGTCCACTATATTACTTGCACCATATCGCTCTGAAAAATAAAATAAAAACACATATGGTATGAATAAATACGACCATTGTTATTCATAGATTTTAGTTGTTTGGCTTAAAATAAAATACCATTATAAACACTAAATAGTATACCAAAATATTATCATCATTAATGTTTACCCTTTTAAGATCTCGATTCATCCATTCTATAGAACAATAGAACGCCGATGGTTTATGAACTCGTTATGTACTGTACCAAAATTATATTTCATTTGTTTAGATTTTTCAGCTACCAATCGAAAATTATAAACGAATGAACAATTTAATATTACACGTATTATAGTTTAATCTTCAATACATTAATTATTTAAAACAATATACCTTTTACCCTCCTTATGTTTTCTTATAGTAAGTATTTTAGTATTTGGTACAAGTGTCGGTTTGTCGCATTTGAAGTGTGTGCTGTCTATGTTATATTTTTTTAGCTAGAAGTTGTATCGAAAGATATTTGTAAAATAATATTTTCATTCATTTATATATAAGACTCTGGAAATTTGATTGAATCTCAACATGAGATTTAGTTATTACTTATTAAGTATATAAATGAGTTAAAATGAGTAAACACACTAATAAAAAAAAATGATACATCATCCACCACTCAGTTAGAAAAAAAAATGACGAATCCGTGTCGTGAGTCGCGTCAATTTCAAGTGACAAT